AGTAGTACTCTAATATGTATATATTCCATACTTTCTTCATCCATTCTTCAATTGAAGGGCATCTAGGTTGTTTCCAGGTTCTGGCTATTACAAACAATGCTGCTATGAACATAGTAGAGCATATATTTTTGTTGTATGATAAGGCCTCTCTTGGGTATATTCCCAAGAGTGGTATTGCTGGGTCCAGGGGTAGGTTGATCCCGAGTTTTCTGAGAAACCTCCACACTGCTTTCCAAAGTGGTTGCACAAGTTTGCATTCCCACCACTGCTGGTTTCTTGATTCACCTTCCCATCTGGGCTTCAATGAACTTACAACTTTATCTTGAGGTTATCCCATACCATAATGCCCTTCTGGTTCTTTCGTCCACTTCCTCCTTCTCTTCCTCTCATCTCTTCCCCTCCCCCTCTTCTTTTCAATGAAGCTTCTATGGGCTCTATCCTCTGGAGATTCTTGCCCTGGTGTCTGTGTCTGGTTCTTCCTTTATCCAATTTAATGCAACTAAGTTGTCAGAATCAAATCATATTCAGGCTCACAGCAGTCAGCGGACAGCTAGAATAAAAGCTATCACCAGGAAAATGATGCTAAGCAACAGCACTGATGTTCAGGGATGTATGTGGGAAAAGAGGTGGCTTCCCAAGACTGAATGGCACTGTTGGCTACCCAAGTGTCACTGGCACCTCCTCTTTTATTTACATCCAATCTGTTCTATCTTACCACCTAAATATACTCGCTCCCTCCATCTCTACTCTCAGGACTCAGTTTAGAGCAGGAGCTCTAGCTCTAGTTCAGGGACAAGCCACATCCTATGCAAGGCCCCAAGTTTGATTCCCAGCATGTTAGTACCTCACACATACTCAAGAGTGCACAGGGGGGGGGGGCAGGGGGCAGGGAGATGCTCATTGTAGTTTATCTATCCCTTGGCTTTTCTCTTTCTCCTCTTTGTAGCAAAACTCACTTCATAGCCAATGGCCAACATACAAAACACCATCTGCTGCTGTCTATTGCACACAAAGCTCCCAACCAGTGACATCTCCCTGCAGATGCAAACTGTAACCTTTTTTCTCCATATCTGAAAACCTTGGAAACAAGTCCTCATCATCCTCTCCTAATTAAATCATTTCAAGATGACTCAGTCTCTTCAGTTACAAAATGTGGTCACCAAAGTTTATTCAACTTTGTCAGCATGGAAATACAAACTAAAACCAGAAAGTGGTGTCATCACACCATGCAATAAAAATGGAAGTTATACCACACAAAGATGTGAAGTAACTAAAATTTATGTACTACTGACAGAAGCAGAAATCACTGGAATTAGAAAACTGCTTGTTATCTAAATCACCATGCTAGAGCTGGCTTATATTTTTAGAATCTGGGGAATCAGTTGACATCTCACTAATAGTATAAAAGTGGAACAAAATGAGAACAATGGACAGACATCCCGAAACAGCAGTGACCTAAGAGCCGGCATAGCACTGGGCACTGTATGTCAGAGCTCTACATGGACATGTCCTATGCCTAGCAAATCCATGCCTAGCAAATGTCCAGGAGAAATGCCTACTTAAGAGGCTGGGGACATAACTAGTGGACACAAGCACCTGCTGTTAAGCCTGATGACCTGAGTTCAATCCCCAGGACCCACAGAGTCAAAAGAAGGCGTCAACTCCTGACCTCTACACATGTGCGTGCACACAAACACATACACACACATGCGCAAGCACACACACAGAAGTAAAAGTGTAATTAAAATGTTTTGGAAATGTCTACATACATTCACTAAAAGCCACAGGTAAGCAATGTTCCTAGCAGCACTAGGATAGCTTCAACCTGGAAACTCAAGTATTTATAAACAGGATAAACCGCCATGCTCTTTGAATAAATAGTATGCAGTGAGAAGAAACACTGCTACACAAAATTACCTAGATGAGCCTCCTGATCCAACACTGAAATCAAGAGTCAAAACTGAGAGGCTCTGGGTCATTCCATGAATATCTAGCTCAAAGCAGCCCAAACTCCTCTCCAGTGTGAGAAAAAAAGAAGTGGTTATTCATAGGAACAGCCAGGGTATGGGAAGCACAAGTCCCTGTAGTTCCATCCAAGTGCTGGCTACATAACAGTGTTCACTAGGTGAAAATTCACCAACAAAATGCATCAAGAAAGGGAAAAAAAGAGCTTTGATTTCCTATCTTCTACAATAACTAGAAATGAGGATCAAACCATGAGACTGTAACTTGGAAAGAGAATGTAGCTCTTTAGCGACTGGGGATACAGCTTGGTCAGTAAAGTCCTTGCCGCACAAGCATGAAGACTGAGTTCGGATCTCCAGCACCAGGGAAAACATTAGTGTTGGGGTGGGAAGTCAGAAAGAGTTCACTGACCAGCAAGCCAGCACAACTGATGAGCTCACGTCGTCTCAAACAGGACTTCCAGCATGCACACACACAAATAAAAACCTTCTTAAAGAAAGCATGGCCTTGAGGTTAAGTAGTTTTTAGATATGACACCCCTACCCCCCCCCCCCCCAAAAAAAAGATGTGCAAAAAGAGGAAATGACTGAGGATATATGAGGTGGTCCAGGGCTTGCCTCACACTTACAAAGCCCTGGGTTCTATGCCCAGCATTGCCAAAAAGTGGGATGGAGATGATCAGGTCTCTGCTGACAGGCACTGCTAAGAGGAGGAAGGCAGTTCTATATTCAAGGAAACTGGAAACATGTATCTAACAAAGGAGCTGTGTCTAGAATGCATTTCCCTAGTCTGGAAAAGAAACTCAGGACTTTATATGATGATGCTGTTACTAGGCAAAACTGAGTTATGGTACAAAGGGCTTCTATAATGGCACTTTTTTATGGACACTGGGAATTTTATTAACTATTAAGTGCTTATTTTCCCACTTTTTTTTTAAATGATACTCTAAGCATTTTCTAATAGTGATGAGGATAAGGACGGGGCTACTCTACAAAGTACTGTGAGAATATTTAAGTCCGTCATGAAGAATCCCATGTTTCATGCAATGAAACAATACTTCACATTTGCTTCTAAGAGCTAAAATCTGAAGAAGAAAAAACTTGCTGAAAACAACTGGGGGATCAGTTTGTATATGACAAAGTACCCGAAGACAGAATACAATGCAATCATAAAATGTTAAGCCATAGAAGAATATTTATTGATATGGGAAAATGTTAACAATATACTTCGATATGAAATGTACAGGATAAAAACCAGTATATATACTTTAATACCATTTTTATGGAAAGAAAAATAACCATATATACAAAACCATGCATAAGAAAAAAATAAGAACTGAATACACCATTTATGGTTATCTCTTTATTGAACTGGATGTGGTTAAAGCTTTCCCAATACACTGAACCTGCCCTGCACACAGTATCTGCTTCATCTGTTCTGCGATTGGTTTTAACTAATTTCCTCCCAGCAGCCTGTATTGAGGACACAGACACCTCCTTACGCAGCTAATGCTATCTATGCCCATCAAAGTAGATGCTGCCTTTATACTGGCATGGGAAGATCATGTTAACTAAAATAATACAGAGACCACCACAGCAGATGCCTGGCTACAGAAAGGTATTATTTGGAGAACTAGAAAATTCTCTACAAATGATTTTTCTCTATTTTAATAGAGAAAAATATGTTATCATTATTTTGTATTGATGGTAAGTGTTAACTATGTATTTTCTGGTATTAGAACTGAGGAATTTGGGATATCTCCTCCCATCTGAAGAGAAGAAGGCTAAGGAGCTCAACCCACAAAACACTGTTAGTAATCTTATAAAATTAAGAAAACAACATTTTTTAAGTGAAGGAAAATGAGGTCAGAGATATAAAAAAATGTGTTGTCTTCTGTAAACACTAATACATTTTAGACAAAACACCAGGGAATAAACTCAAAACCAGAATGCTGGAAAAATTACTCCTTCAGCCTGCAGCATAAATCTTAGTGCTTTTACCGCTTTTCACATGTCTGAAATGTCAAGACTGTGAAATTATCTTTAGCAAATAACTTCCGTAAGTTAATACATAGGATATACTCAGCATTTCATGGAAACAGAGGTTAAGTGCTCCAAATACACACATATAGGTCATCCTATAATTCTCGATAACTTACAACATTAAATAATGTTGAAAATAAGACTTCTGTCTCAGAACCCACTCTAGTGTAGAGCTGGGTCCTGGATTCCTATTTAAAATACCAAGTGAGGGTATGGATCTTTCAAGGTTGAAGGGTAAAGAAAAACATCTGCCCAACCTGACTAAGTTCCAGTACCATCCCAAAGCTGCTTCCTAACTTCTTATCCCATCCTTGGGAGTGAAGTCAGACAAGCCTGTAATCACTTGATCAACTTAGTAATTGTTGGCATCCTGCCTGAAAGAATAACAGCGCACAACTTACCTACATCTCAAAGGGAAACTCCCAGTCTTTTTCCTTACCAGTAACATGCAAGTGAAAAAAAATGAGAGAAATAAAACACTTTTCAAAAGGGAGATTTGCCAAGAATTTGTAGACAAAAACTTTTTTTTCTAATGAAAAGATCTGTCCCTCCACCTCTCAGCAAAAACCACAGAACTAAAAGAGTCGAGCAAGTGTGCATCAAACTAGTCCAGTTCTCAGCCCGCGTCAGTGGCATTCTGCCACCTCTACCTTATTGTCTCAGTGTCCCTACGTCGGGCACAGCACAGGGAAGCGCACACAGA